TGAAAAGAGTGCTTGCCTAACCTAGAAAAACAATGTCAGCACTTAGTTCTGTGTGAATGCCAGCAGCTTCTTTAAGACAAAAGTGTTGTTCTTGCGAGACTGCCAAAAGGTGGTGCTGCTGGAACTGCACATACTTAATTCTTAAATTTGCTGAGATTTGCAGAGCACTAAGGAGAAACTGCTGTCTGTGGATCTCTGCTTAAGACTTCGTGACTGGAAAATAGTTTCTAAAAGGTTTAAAAGAAGAAAGCAAAAAAACAACAACAAAACCACAACAAAAAAAAAACCCACCAAAAAAATGAAAACTGATCAACCCTAAATGTAAGTTAAATGTATGGGTAAGAAAGCTGCAGACTAGAAGAGGTGAGGCAAGAAGAATCTTTCATGGATGTTCTCTAGGACTCATAATCCTTTCCAATACCGTTTAAACCACCAACATACCAACAGTGTAATTAGAAATTAAAAATGTGACCTATAAGTAACTAAGAAGTATAAAGAAAGAAAAAGTAAGAAATAATATGAATCCACTTTTGTTGGGGGCAAAGAAAAGTGGAAAAGTTCTTAGACAACTGAGAACATCTGGCTTCAGAGTAGACCTGCTTCTATTTCATGAATGACCTTCTCTCCTTTTTGGGGAGAAAGTTGGCTTTTAAAGTTGCACAATACGATGTGGGGGGAAAAATTATGATAACCGAAGGAGAGTCAAAACTTCTCCTTAATAGTTAGGCAGCAGCAAATCATTCCTGAAGGGTGCTCTAGGCCATGCAGTAATATCTAAAGTAAATGGCCCACTGCAGTTGCTGAGTGTCTTGTAGGATCTGCCTGTACTTTTTTCTTGAACAAAGTAGGGCTGTTGTGGATGACCTAAAACAGCAAAGCTGTAGTGAAGCAAAAGTCCTTACTGCTTTCAGCTGGTGCTTGGAGTTAAGGACTGCAAAATTGCCCACAGACTTTGCCCCTTGCTTTTTGTAGAAACCTGCTCGACTTTATTGTAGAAGGTTGATTTAACTACAGGTGTGACAATGAATTGGTATATCTACAAAAAAAAACAATCATGTTCAGAGTGATGGTTATAAATTCCTCTCCTATCTCCCTTTTATCTTGGGTATCTCAGCGCTCTGTCTTTTCTCCATGCCACTTGGTTCCCTTGAAATTGCCAAGGGAGTGCAAGAACTAAGGAGTGTGGGCCTTGTTTGAGTGATATTTGCAGGGTTGCTGCCAAGGGAGCAGTGAAATACAGCACAAAAATAAATTTAGAGTCCAGGAGATTAAAGGGGGGAAGGAAAACGGGAAGAAAAAATAAGGACCAAAGGAAAGAGATACGAAACTCAACCTTGGGGGGCATATTTCTGATTTTCAGGGGCAGAAATGTGTTCCTGACACCATCCTGACCCATGCATCACCCAAGCATTATCCTAATATTGGGTTGGAGACAGCCATTACCTGGGATTGCTACCAAACTCTGCAGCTCTTTCTTAAGGTTCATAATGTCTTTGCACAGCTGGATGTCATCCATCCTGCAGAAACAGAAAAAGCGTGGTCAGACAGATGCAAACCCCATCCTGTGTTGATGGGATCAGTCAGATCTCATCTGAATATATGATACTGTCCCTTGCCTGGGACCTGTGCATTGGCTTGAAATGCAGAGGTTTAACCTTGGGATACTGATACTGTTCATTCACCAATTTTAACAGATAGCTAAAAGATATTTAATACTAAATGTTGCTGAGCTCTTGATTACTTGTCTTACTGAGATACAATTTGTGTGTAGGTTGTATCTGTCACTGCCTTTTGCTTTCTTGAATGTCACAGAACATTCTGGAATGGGCATCTGTGTATTTAATAGTCATTAAAACAGGAGTGCCATATTGCACATATACTGCCATATTATTGCAGCAATAATTTTCACTAGGGAAAAGAGCAAGGGGGAGAATAACAGGGAGCCTGGGAAGGGGCAGCGGAAGCCGATACATTATTTGGCACAGCCAAGACAAGGTTTATATTCCACTGCCAACTTTCTTTGTGACCTTACTAATAACTTGGCCTGGATACCAAAGACCTGGAAACTGTCATAAGTTGGCATCTGACTATTTTGAGGCCTTGTGCCTTGGCTGAATGTGTTCCATTGTTGGCATGAGTGCTTCAAATCCTTGATGTGCGCAGAAAGTCCGTTAATGTTAAGGCACAGAAGAGAGATAAAAATCCAACTGTAACATTAGCAGAAACTGCACCCTCAGTTCTTACTGAAACTGATATCTATCCTGAGAGCTGCTCTACCAAATTATTTCCCGGGAAGCTAGCAAACTTCAGCATTAGCTTCCTCACAAATGTTTTATTTTAGTGTCTCAACCATATTCACAGCCAAGGTTCAGGTGTTGGTTCTGAGGGCTGCATCAGGGGCTTCCATTTTGAAATCATGCGCTGAAGAATACAAAAACCCAGCTGTTGTGATTAATTGTACATTCTTTGACTCAGATGTCACCAGTACTAGCTTTGCCCACAGATCTGACTCCTTGTTTCATAATCCTGTGCCTGAAGGGTGGATTGCCTGTTGCCTAAGCACCTGAAGGTAGCTGAAATGCTATCAGAACATAGAATCATAGAATGGTTTGGGTTGGACCTTTTAAAGGTCATCTACTCCAAACCCTCCTGCACCACCACCCCCCCAGCAATGAGCAGGGACATCTTCAACTGCATCAGGTTGCTCAGAGCCCCGTCCAACGTGCCCTGGAATATTCCCAGGGATGGGGCATCCACCACCTCTCTGGGCAACCTGTGCCAGTGTTTCACCACCCTCATTGTGAAAAATTTCTTCCTTTTATCTAGTTGAAATCTGCCCTCTTTTAGTTTAAACATGGGTTGTCACAGTGGTATTTCAAGAGAGGAAACCCAAGAGATTACAGTGTGTGTGTGTGTATGTGAGCAAGCACACAAAGAAAAATGTAGTCAAATTAATAAATTCAGCAAGGAGGGGAAAAAGTAGGTGTTTCTGGCACAAATAAGATTTTAACCACAACCCAAGACTTTATTCTCCCTGCTGCCTCTGCATGGAACACAGGTCTCTGCAGGGACCTGTCCCTGCTGCTTTGTTCATGTTATTAAAACATGTTGATCCTTTTATTATTTGCTGCTTTGGTTAACTCCACTTTGCCTGTTCTGCTGCTTTCATTGTGCTATGACAGCTATTCCTGCT